GCTCATCTCTTATTGGGTCGTCCATGGCAATATGACCAAGAGGTTATTCATAATGGAGTTTTTGCTGATTTCATTGTCACCAGCTGAAGTCCTAGCAGATTAACAACAAATGGAGCTGAACTGGGATAGGGAGAAATGGAGTGCAAATGGCTCAAAGTCGGAGGACGGAAGTGGAACCCATCTTATGGCTCGAAGACACATCTTGAATGCGTTGAGAAGAATTCAGGCAGGTAGTTCTGGTCATGGTCTCCCTTGTCGGAACACACATCTCGATTTGGGGAAAAAATGGCGACCGGGGATCGAAAACAGAACTACCCTCTATCAAGTGGGTTTAAACCCCCCGACCGGAGATTTGAGGCTAGGTTTCGGGGCTGGACGAGTTCCAAATTTCTTTATCGGTTTAAGATTTTGTGTCTTTTCGGGTTTTTGATTATTTTATTTGCCCAGAGATATATAAAGGGCTTAAGTCACGAATGTTTAGTTAGTTTTCGAACCCTATTGATTTTATTCCTATTCTTTGAGCTATAGGGTTGAGATATTTCTGTTATGTATCAATCAAGTTTTCCCCTTGATTGTAGACGAGCTTCAATCTTTTATATGGTTAGAGCCTCTCCCATCTTGTGTTGAGATTGCACTTTCAATTCCTGAATCGTTCCTAACTACATAAATAATTCCCAAATAGAGCCCAAATGCAAACTCTAGAAGGGTGTAGTAGAGGGCAAGTGTTTTAATTGACAACCCGAGGCGTTCCATGTACTCCTACTTCAATCGCTTAAATTGTTATCTGGCTACCGGTTTTGAGTTTAAAAGCTAAAAAACTACAACTGTAAATAGGAAAAAACAGTAAATCGAGTTTGTTCCAATAAGAGAAGAATTCACCCAGGTATTGCTCCCCTTAGCCACGTATCAAGATCGACCAAATAGAATGCAAATGTGTAAAGGTGTGCTCATACACCATAAGGAGGTTGAAACTAGTGAAGAGACTCCACTCTCTCATACTATAGGCCAAGGAATATCAAATTAAGCTAGAAAACTAGCTATCTCAGCCAATCACCTAAGGGTCGCAAAGTTGACTCCCTCGGAACTTAATTCTGACGACAAACGAATAACCAAACAAGGTGATAAATTGAAGTTTGAGGCTTACCCTAAATTTCCGTAGGTGGGTGACACAAATGGCCAAGACATCCAACTCCTCAAAGCCTCTAATAAAAGGGGATTCCCTCCACCTAGGTTAATTTGACATGGTTATGAGAAATGAAGAACACAACTCAAGAATTCTAAAAATACCTCAAAATTTGCATTAAACACAAACCCACAAACGTAGTATTCAATCCATACAATCAATCACATCTCTAAGGCTAGGTTTCACAATATCCAAGTGAAAAATGGGCACTACTCCATAGCTAGGCTAGAGATTACTACAAAGAAGATAGAAGGAACCATGGTGGAATGCTTGCCTTCCTTCCTATTTGTTGAAAACTCACTTGAGACGTGAAAATCTTCACTCCTCTAGCTTTGAGCAAACCGTAATCCTCTTCTTCTCTTTTTGTTCATCAGTTTCTCTCTCTAGTTTCTAAAGAGAAGACCTTTCTCTCACTAGGATTCCTCTCCCATTGATTTAAGGTTTCTCCTCCTTTTATACTCCCGTCAGGCAGATGTCACGGTTAATAGTCATAGGTGTGATCTTGGAGGCCTGCTAGTGACGTCGGGCGAAATGCACTGTTTAAACAAACATCTTCATAATTGGGGCGGAATTGTCACGATCGACTGATGGTGACAATTGACTTATCCGCGTGAGAATCTTCACGGCCTCCTGGAAGTTGTCGATATTTCCGATCACTGGAAAATCTTCACGGCCTCCCCCCGTGAGAATCTCCCCTTTCCCGTGACTTTGGCCTTTTTGTCCCTTTTGATCCGCTTTCGCCCTCTTTCGTTCGAATTTCACTCCAGAGGTCAATTCCACCAGCTAAAACCTGAAACATACTAAAACATGCACAAACCTAGCGTAAAACCAATCTCGCGCAATGCAAACTCTTAAAACGCCTCAAGAAATGGTGTGTAAATATGTATAATTAAGCTTGAATATAAATCCCCCACACTTGTACATTTGATTGTCCCCAAGCAAATCAATCTCAAACAATGTAATATTTCAACCTAACTCATCATAACTTGGGGACATGTCAAAGGGCACAAAGTGGATGGATCTCAAATGTCTATTTGGCACCGACATATGGATAACAACAAATAATTCGGGCAACCACCACAAATGACATTCGAATGCATTGAGAACGTGCAAACAAAAAGTTCTCACCCTATTCACAAACCAAAGCATATCCTGCAATGGGAACTCACCAACTACAGTTTTCCATGCATAAAGATCACACATAGGAACAAACGAATGAGCAAACTTGGTCCTCACCAAGGCACGATATGAACATGAAAAGATGAATGAATCATTCAATCTCGACTAGTGGGGTCAGGACCATTTTGATGCAAAAGATGTGCATACTCAACACTCAGCCCTATCGTCTCTTCACCATGAGGGTAACCTCTAAATGCTAGAGCTCACAAGATGGGTGTCATCACTCATCACTAGCTTGTCAGGAGGTCTTAGACATGGGTTCAGTTGGCTGGCTAGGGTCTTGGACAAGGGAAAAGGCTTTTTGGGTGGTGGAAAACATAGCATGAGGTTCCAAATCTTCAACCTAAAACAAACACAAGACTTTGTGGTTTTGATAAGAACCTTCTTCTACTAGCAACGACCACTAGCATCGGCCAAAAACCACACTTCCCAGTACTCCAAACCACAACCAATCATGAACAACAAAGCACACTCTTTTTGCTACACCTATTATTCAATCTTTCAAGCACAAGAGTGAAGGAGGTAAACCACATGTAGGTGTCTCGATGACTTGACTGCCAAGAAACTCCTTTCTAGAGCATAAACAACATTTCTGTGGCACTCTCTATTCTTATTGTCCCCCTTTTATTGCCTTCTTTTTGTTTTTCTTCATTTCCTTTTTTTTGTGCTTATTGGGGGATATTAGAGAGCTAGACACACATGCCACATTCTTTGAACTTTTCAACAAATACTCACTTTTTAAGCACTACCTCCCACACCACTTTCATTCCTTAGCAGGAAAGCATTCGAGACACACAAAGTGGGACTGCATTCTCGATTCTGGGATGACAGACCTAGGATATGAAGGTCCTAATGATACATGGTTCAGGACATGGACAAGTCTCTAGGAACGACTAGACCGGGGGCTAGCTAACTATTAATGGATTGTGACCTTTCCGGAAACAATAGTATCACACCTACCCCGAGTACGGTCGAACCATCGACCTCTACTAATTAAGTCGCACTAGCAATTCCAGGCAGGTGGACCTAAGCCATTAAAGTTTATGGCCGCATGGCTTCCACACCCTCACCCTTCGCCCTTTACCTCTACCTCGGGGTAGAGATCAAACTCTCACGAACCAAGGGTGGACTCCAAAAAACCACAGGCCGAGGCAGCCGGTCGAGCCGCTGAACCTGCTCTTGCATTTCCACTCCCCCCATCTTCTGCATATCTTGCTCATCCGACATGGCATGAATCACTAAACTTGCACTCAGGAACAGTAATGCATTGAAAAACGCGTGATTCATTAAGTGAATGACTAATAGCCATTATATGCACATGTTTTGGCCACCATTATTGAACCGTTTGAGAGTCGATTCTTGTGTTTTAAGCCGATTTCACCCTAGGTTGTGCATTTATGTCATATTTCAGGACTTGGCGCGGAAAGGGAGGCTTGGAGGCGAGTTTCGGGTCGAAAATGGAGAGTTGGCGGCGAGGAGGAGTTGACAGACAAAATACCATGTCAGGTTACTATAATACGCGACCGGGTATAAATGGATGAACCACCGGGTTAAGCCGCTTGGAGACCCGGAGAAGTAGAGGGGGGCCCGACCGAGAGCCCAAAATACCCGATCGGGTATTTTAGCCCAGGATCGTGTATTCCCCCTTTTCCTGATGCGCTGCGTTTTATTATACCCGACCGGTCCTCTGAATACCCAACCGGGTATTTGGGCCGGGTTTCGGGATCTGCTGTTGTTTCAAGCGAATTCTGAGTTCTTTGGCAAAAGAATCAAGTTTTGGAGAAAGAAAGTGAAACCTAGAGAGAGAATGTGACGAACAAAGCCTCCAAAGTGACCAAGATCTAGTTTTGGCGCCATTGGAGCTCGATTGAAGCTTGGAGAAGTGCTGATTGACAACCAGAACCCAATTTTCATCCTCCACAGAATGATTTCTGCATTTGAAGCTGATTCCTCTTCTCTCTCTATGGAGTAAACTCTCTCTCTCTCCTGGGTATGAAGAACCCTAGATTTGTATGTTAGGTTTGGTTGTATGAACCCAAGTACATGATCTTTTGACATTGATTATTCAATTGAGGCATGATTTTCTAAATTGCATGAATCCTGATCAAATTCCTTTAGTTCTTACTTTGACCTAGAAAGAGAATATTTGCCTAGGTTGATAGAGTACCCTTAATTGAAGGTGGTGAATTGACTACTTAGTCGAGGAGTCAATTCACTGCTCTGTACTGGATTTACTCCAGTAGAGAAGGTTTTTCACCGTATTGCCTTAGTTTGTTTATTCCGGTGGAGGTTAGTCGCCCGTCGGGTATTTTGATCGAAAGGGTCTGGAGACCTTTAGTCGAGACTTCAGATTAATTAAGAACCTTTCGCAGTATAACTGTCATTAAATCTGGACTTGGTGAATTGCAGCTTGGCTTAACTGCAATCTAGGGGGATCCATATCTGGGTGACCTCTCTCAAACTTGAACCACAACCTTTACTGCTTAGTGTTTGCTCAGTTTAGTCATTAATTCACTACAATTTAACCGCTAAACAACAAGAACTTCACGGAGTAGTCATCACACCTAGGACCCGGGTTGACAATTAAAGCTAAACCCGCTATACTACGCATTAGTAGGTGGTTACACTTGGCCACTTT